CACCTACGGTTAGGGTGTAGAATTTTTGGGTGTGCTCTGCTCCGGTTGCACATATTGAATGAGTCACGGCGAAAACTTACAAGTTCCCTTCACCAATAACATAATTAGAGGATATCCACCATGCAAACCACTGTGGTTTCGAAACGAACAATATGTCGATATTTGCGCTGAATGGCTGTACTGTCGAGTGCCAATAAACACGAGATTATCATGACAAAAGTGGCATTGTTGAGGAACCGCCCCATTGCCAAGTCAAATATCATATTTGCAAGACATTATTTACTCTCAGCGGGACATTTATCTTCTGGGCTTTCGGGTGAGCACCGATTTTCTCGGATAATGGCACGTAACCATAAACAGCGGGGATTTCAAAAGAATGAGGTGTCGTAAAGTTGAGGCTATTTTCTAGAGCTATAAAATCGGCAGTACGGATTTTATAAGCTTTTTAACTCTTTTAGGCGCAATATTCGCCAGGTAAGATTTTCGACGAGACAGGGTTCAAACCCTACGAAATTTACTTCATTCATCTTCCCACTCCTTCCATTAAATATTTACCCTTTATTGAACTGAAGTTAAAATAAATTCCCTAATAACGAAATCGCTTTTTTTACTGAATATTGTATTAACCCGCCAGACATGAAAGAATTTTAAAGTGGCCATGCGAATTGACCGGAATTTTATCATTTTTACTGAGAATGATGTCACTGACATTCATGATAAACCTTCCAGACATGATACAAGACTGCGATAGTCAACCCACATATGAAAATTCTAAAATAAACACAAGCGAAGAAATGAGATCTTCTTTATGCACGTGACTAATGTCCATAAAGATGATTTGTAAAGGCGACACTTTCCTGAGATTGCCTCATACCGTTACTTAAAGTCCTGAACAGCCCAACCTAAACTGCTGTTGTTGACACAACTCTCATTAATTTTAGCTTAGAGTCGAGTTGATTGCGAAAAGGTGCTAATGCTTTTCTCCATTTTGGTCGGTGCTTATTCGGTCAACAACTAAATACAAAACGGCAAAATACAAAGCCGTTGTACAGTTATGGGTAACGAAAGAGGTACATAAAGGATTTTAAACTTTACATATCTGTACATTTTAAAAGTTTGTTTTTTAGTGCAAGGTTTGGAAACAGCTCATTAGTTGTAATGTTTGTGTGACTTTATGACCTTCAACCGAACACTTATCACCAACTAACATGTAAACTATTTTCGCAGTCTCGCCCACAGTCATTTGTCATTCTATCTTGACTGACGGACTGCAACAACACTTGACAGTGGCGTAGAAAATTTTACTGCGAAAAAAGAAAAATGCGACCAATCTGGATGTAACGTTTTTTTTTATTTCTTGGAGGCGGTTGTGTACACTGACAAAATGTGAAGGATTTTTAAGGAGAGTATAAATATTTTTATCCAAATAACACAGTTTGTTACGTGAAGTTATTATTTCTTTAGTCTAGAAATGTTGTAATGACTTCTACACATTTTTTACGACAGCATTGCGACAGTAAAATTCTTTGATATAATGAAGAAAATATGTTTTTAACAAATTGTTTAATTTTACCCTTTTAGATGTGTACGTTAGTCATGTATTCACTACAAAAAGTTATCTTTAAAGAAATTTTGTTTTATCAAAAACAACGATTTGTTACGAAAAAGTTATTTTTTGAACACTTGCATAAATTGTGTTGGCAAAATCTGCACTGTCATAGTCGTTCGTTTTTGAGGTTATGAGAAATAATTTAGGACAATAAAATATGTATGCTTTGTTTGAAGGTTTTTTTTTTCATTATACTGACAATACAAATGTCAAATTGACAGGTAACTTCATTCGAAAATAACATTAATTCCATGGCTGATTGGAATGTATTTTCTTCACGTTTTACACGTTCGGTAAGTTAAGGTAAGTCTACTTAAATTTTTTTTATTTCACTTTGAGTGAATCTTTGCAAAGCTGTTTCAGTTTATTTGTATCTATGTATAACAAAAACTAATAATAAACACCATAACGTGATTTTATAGCACACTTGTGTTGCAAGTATATGTCTGATTTATTGTCTTTCAAATGTTCACCTTTCTATTTGTTTCAAACATGGAAACGTCATTTGCTGCATACATAAAATATGGATTTTACTATTGCTTTATAGCTCAAACAGTTTATACCATTTTTAAAAAATACCTATTTATTTTAATTCAAAAGCTTGTAAACACGAGTCGTGATAACACTATTTTTTATGCACACTTTTATATAGCAATATGTTTATTTATCACAGAAGATAAGCCGAATCTTCCAACTGTTTATAATTTTGAGTAAATATTGTAAATATAGCTTCGCAAAATTTCAGTGCTAATGAACAATTTTTACCGATAACGTTTCACAAAACCCGAACAACACAAATTTTTCTTCAATTAGAACACTTTCGGAATTACTTATAGTTGTTTTGAACTTCAAATTTGCAGAAATTTATGTTTTTTTTTTCACTTTGAGCCACTTTATCACTGATTTTAATATTTCGAAAACTCGAGAAAACAATAAGAAATACACCATAAAGTATTATATTATATAATACTTGTATTACAATTTTACTACTTAAATTTTGCTACTAAATATCCAACAGTTTTGTTTGTTTCGTCTAATATTTTTAATATTTCACCCATGCGGATAAACAAGATGATTCTGCATGAGTTCAGATAAACTTTGCTTCTTCAGCTTGATGTGTTCTTTCAAAACCTGACAAGGTTATCGCTGTTATCAGCAATAGATACTATTTTTATAAAATCTCCATTAATTAAGTGAGTGTATTTATGGGTATACGTGTTCAGATGCAAACACGGACGAGGATAATGTTTGCATTAAATTTTGAGACAGAATCATACCACTTACTCCGCAGGGGCAAGTTAAAAAGACCTTTAGAGACTTTAACGTGAATTAAAGGTAAGAGTAAATGAATAAGAGAGAAATCCTAAATAATAAACATCCAACAGAAATACAGGGTGATCAAAAAGTCACGGAAACGTTCCTGGTACGTTGTTGAGAAACCACTGAAAAACTCGAAAACAATGGTTTAAAAAATCCCTGAAGCAAACTTTCGAAAATGTTAGACTTCAGTGTTGTAGAATTAACTCCGTAATTCTGATCTTAATAATACACAGTTAAATATTAAGTTATCAATAATTTAATAAAATTTGGCTTCATCATGATTTTATGCAAGTTTTACCGGAATTTTGAATTTTCACATATCAGAATTACGAAGTTAATTTTTCAACATTGAAGTTTATTATTTTTAAAAGTTTGGTTCAGGGATTTTTTACCATTTTTTCAAGCTCTTCCGCACCATCGAACTTATGCGTGATTTTTTGGTCACCTGTATAACAATATATGTACTGGGTGTTTCATCTCAATGGATCGATCAAATTACTTCAGAAGTATTTATACCAAGAAATTATGAAAAAACGTTCATGATAGCAAGTTTGGTCAGTGGAAATAAAGAGAATTTTTATTTTTCCCACGGAATCATGTTATTTTTAGCTTTTTGTGGAAAGATTTTTCAAATACAGTACACGCTAGTTATAACAAGTTTCACAGCAAAATGTTCAAATTTAAAACTGTTTTCGGTTAAAATAATCGTTGCAAATCTAGGTATAGAAAAATTGTAAAAAAGTATTTACTCAATCATTTTGTAGAATCCTGACACAAATTTTGTCAGGATTCTTAATTTTTTTGTTGATATTTTTAATGAAATGTGAGAACTTTTGTTTAAAAAAATAAAAGTTGATGTGGCTAAACAGACGTTTTTCTGTGTTATCAATCACATAATCTGCTTATCTGGTAATAGTTTTGAAATAAACTGATCGATCATTTGATTAAAAAAATGAACTTGAAAAATTCTATGCTTTCAACAGTTACGTTATTGTGATTTGTATTTTTAAGTTTTCGACATATATAACAATCTCGATAACGGAATTTCGCAAGAATAGCTGCTAGCGTGTGAACAAGTTTCAGCGGAATCCAAAAAAATGTTTTCCACTTGAAAAAAATTACTAAAAAAACGTGTTATGTATACACAGTTATAAGTTACCTACACTACAAAATGAAAACTTCGTAATAGAAATCGCCGTGTGTTGCAATGATTTAAAAATTGTTTGTGTTTTGTGAATAAATTTACATAGGATCAGCATTTTTTAAATTTATGCCGAATATTAGAATTGGAAATAATTCATAAATATGAAAATTTCACATTATCGTTTGCCAGGTTGAGGCACACATCCACATTTTATTTCGTTGGGCGTGTTCCATCCCAATCTACTAACAGACAATAATAACTTCACTATGTGTTGAAAGACTCCTAATAATTTCAGCGAGAAGAAAGCGCTGAGAGCGCACACTATTTAATCCTTTCGTAATACACAGAGAAAGCCAAAGCTCCACAAGCTTATTTAACACACTCCACCAAATTTACATTTCGCTTTATTCACGTAGTATTTTTTCATAATGTTTCTAGTACAACCTCGTATCAGCTTCTCGTAAACAGAAGCAACAGGTTGCCATTCTTAAAATTTTACGTGCGGCATGCACGAAATCCGCGAATTATACAAAAAAGCAAAAATCCTCCACATTTGTCAACGTCGAAAACAAACAAGTCGACTTGTTGAACACAGCACCCATTTCCGCACCCCCGGTCTACGCCACTGTCACACACCACCGTATCAGTTTCAGTTTATCCAGACGCCTAAGCAAACATCAGCAACTCCAAGCTGATGATAAAAATTCGATGGACCCGCAACGTGTGAACAGCCGAAGCCCGCGAATTCGCCACCGAAACACCATACCACGCCGGCACTCACTATCCTGCAGCCTCCCAGGACCTGCTTGCAGGCCGCTTCGCGAATGAACAGCAGGAAGGGATCGCGAATCGTGCAAGCCGCCGCTTCGCCGGCGTTCGGTTTTTGCACACGTCTCTGTTCGGCATTTTCGCCTGACACACGTTTTGCAATGTTGCGCTGGTCAGGACTCGATTCCTGATCACGGCCAATGTCCTTATGGTAGGTCGGCCGTCCTAGCGGTATTTTGCGTAGCGTGCTTTGACCGGTTTGCAAGGACAAGTGCGAATCGCGGGTGAACAGTGCTGCCAACTGCCATTTCAAACATGAATATGATAGCTTCGACCCGCCGGGATCGTCAAATATGCATAAATCGATGCATGCACATCGCTGATCCTGCCACTGGCGCGTCCTTACGTAAGTATGTTGTCGAATTACGACGTTTCGCACTTGACGAAAGTGCATCATCATGGATCGCGAACAACCTATCATAAATCTTGACAATAATAGTTGACAATCTGTGGTGAGTATGTTGTCAATAGCTAGCAAATCCTGTTTTGTCATAAATCTGTGGTGGTCGACCGGTGGCAATGGCTAAAGCTCCGCGGATGCACTACATAGTTTTCCTTGGACGATTTTACAACATCAGCGTTTTCTTAATCGCTCCTCTGTGCGGCTCTTCCATATCGGTAACTTTTGACTTTTGTGAACTTTGGCCGCTGATAAACCCTGTTGATTTATTGTCATAGGCCCGAAGGCATCAATTAACACGCATGAAGACGGAGGCCTTTTTGTAAACCGAATTTTTATCTGCGACAAACAGTAAGTGGGATAACGGCCGTTTTTCCGTTCTATTGGCTGACCGATAACGATTGAACCAGGGATTTGGGAAGGTACCGTTGCTGCCTAATGGAATGTCATGTGCGATAAACTATATCAAAATATAGTGTGGGGGCCGTTGAACTTGGTCATTTTTTCTTATTATTGTACGAATCGTGCGTCATGTTTGATGGGTACACAAAGTGCTGGAAGAATTTTCAATCGTTCGATAAATAATTTGCCGGTGACGAGAATGTCGACAATGTGTTTGTTAAAGATGATGTTATCACTGCGAGAATAGTGTATATCGGGAAAGCAAATAAGAAAACGTGATTATTTGTTTATTGCAACATTAGAGATATCAGGGGACGCTAGAACACCTTCATTGTTAGGCTGGAAGTCGGAAACTTTGTGGAAGATCGACCCGATCCAATGGACTTTTCTCAAAGAAACTTAGCACCTAATTTTGACAAAGACAATTTTGTATTATATGTACCAAAAATTTTGTCCTTGAGCAAAATTTCAGTTCGCCTTTTTAGTTCAGTTTTGTATAAAGTGGCCCAAGGCACGCTGTTATCGGTGTCAACAAGGTTCTTCTGATTTCCATTTGTTTGTAAATTTTTAACATTGTCTATTAATAGATAATAGAGAGTAAACACTGCAATTCTGACACATTTTTCAAAGATAACTTCAAAACAACATGCTGTTGCCTAAAATATTTGAATATGTGTACACATTGTGGTTACGATTAATATAATAACTGACACTTGTTCACAAATAAACGAGTAAAACTGTTAACAATAAAAATGGCCACATTATCTAAATTGTGCAAAGATGGCACAAAACAACTAGTTTTTTAAATGGTAGTTGGTCGATCGAACAGTAATCCTGTTTATCACAAATCGCTCTAATTACTTCAGCACACTTGTATTCCTGGAATATATTTCTAATGTGTGTGGCAGAAACAGTGCAAAGACAATAAACTGTTTATGCATAAACTGACAACAAAATGTACGAGCCCACAACATAAATTACAGTTTTATCTTTCACTAATTAAAACGATAATCTCAATTCTTGTAATGACTTTATTGTGTTATCAAAGTTATAAGTGGAACCATACATTTTTTATTTCGTACAGAAATCGAATATAACGGCGTTTTAAAAAATTATTTGAAGTTACTAAATCCTGGATCGAACCACCAAAAAGATTTTTGAAATACTAGATTTTTTGACATTTTGAGATTTAAAAATCACGTGTAAGTAAAATTTTTTTAAATAAGTAAGTATTTTCACAGTTAAGGATAAAAAAATGTTTTCGTAACTATCTAACCTCAGTTTTTAAACAAAAAGTGTGCAAACATAGTTTCTAAAGATTTTTTATGATGAGGTAAAAGTTCAAGAAAAACTTTTATATTCTGTAAATAATAAGATAAATCTGACAATAACTATTTCACGATAAAAGCATGTTGTTTTCGAATCCTGGTTTTCAAACTTGTGGTTTAACGTATAGAATCCATGGTGCTATCTTTCAATCAAAGCAAACCCATTCTCGTCAAAATTACTTTATCAAATTATCGAAAATACCGAAAATACTTTTAGTTAAAATTAGCAACTATTAGTTGTTTTCCTTCAAATTTCGCCATAGGAGGTAATTTGGAAATTGTAGTTCCGTTTTTTCCATGGTAATACTTAATTGAAAGCAACGTATTTAATTTATTAGGTGCGGTTTTAGGCAATAAAATTATTTTAAAAACAAACCTTTTACATAAGATAAAGAATTTCTAGCAACTTTCGGCAAGCAAAAAGTAAGTAAATAAATTGTTATGTATGAGATATATTGAATAAATAAGATTCACCTTGAAAGTGAGATTGTTTTCATTACATGTTATAGATACATTGTTATTCTATAGAATATTACACAATTTCGAAGGTCTGGTATTTTAATAGTAAAATTTTGATTTAAAAATTTTGAAAATCACATTAATGATAATATGCTAATAGTTGTATTCTTCTCTGGAGAATTAAATAGAAAATAGCTCTAAATATTTTTTCACAGAAAAATTCATTCAGCTCATTTCATTGTTGAATAAAATACTACTCTGGCTTAAAAAAGCAACTTTCAGCTATTTTGTGATAATTCCATTTCCGCACAGATACACTTCTTGTTAAAAACGGAATTATCTCTAATTTCGTGATAAAAATTCAAAACTCAAAATTGCTGTTTGTAAATACTGTATTTACTCAATGAAACGCTACAAACTATATAAATTTCTCTATTTTAGGTAGCTAAAGCCTCATTAAAGAGCCAATACATTAATTACTTACAGTTTTTTTATTCTTTTGTTTAGTCCGTAAATTATTTTTAAAAGTAGTAATTGGCTCATTTTGACGAAACTCACCTATTCAATTACCGTCGAAGTGGAAACTGTGGTACGATTTAGTGAACAATTGTGTTTCCGTGAAAAACTGAATAATTCATATGCAAAAATTGACAACAGTAGAGATTTAGTGCTTGTTAAAAGTTGTACAGGATTACCTTTTATTGAGATATAAACTCAAACTACATGAAGTTGTTTCCGTACAGTACATCAAATGAGTTATTAATAAGTTTCATTTGAAACTTCCAATAAAAATGATTTTTTTTATAGCTGTGTAAAAAAGCGAACTTTTAGCTTTGAATTGTACAGAATTATGGACGTTACTAAATCAGTGTCAGTTGTTTGTTAAAAACAACAATAAATATTAATTGTTTTACATATATGTATCTTAAATGTATGAGAACCGTTCCAAGCATTTTTAGATTTTGTCGCATTTAAAATTAATTAAATTAATATTAGACCAGTTGTTTATTATTGTAAATTATACAATAGTTTCCTTCTTACTTATGTATTTATTAAAACATCTTTTCAACTTACTGCAGTGTTAACTGCACGACTGGTTAAATTTCTCTGATTTTTTTTTAATACTTTAGTTGCTTTCATTGCGTTATTAATTATTACTATCTTCCATATCAGCTCAAAGTAGAAAAAGTGAGTTATGTACCTTATCAATATGGCTTTCAATATATTCATAATACTAAAAGCAAATAAATAGACACACCGGATATTTACATTGAGTGAAAAAGATGTGTCAAAAGAGACTAAAGTTAGGTTTCAGCGAAAATCGGCTTCGTTTATTAAACAAATATTAGAATATTATCTCCAAGAATTCTGCTTGCGAAACTAGTGTTGGAAATAACTGAAGTACAAAATGTGCTTTCACTGAAAACTGAAGTTCACCTATAGATTTACTCACAGATTTACAGATGTGGTGAGTGTGGGCAAATTTGTAACAAAATTAGAAGTTTGATTTTTTGCAGTAATGGTGTTTACAAAAGCGTAAAGTTTCTAGAACTTAAACAGTCCGTAAAGTGACGAAATAAAAAAGTGTGATAGACGTGACTCCTAAACTCACACCATTTTCTCACATTAGGAAACAACTACAATATTTATAATCTCACCTTACTATATATCTTTGTTGCATTGATAATGGACATGTAAGTAATTATTTGATTATCCGATTATTTAGTATTTTTGATAGTGATTCATAACCTCTAATATTGCGCGGTATATTCAAGACGAAACTTTGAACTGCAGTCGATTGCAACTGCAAGAAAAATACTGTAAGGTTCAAATTTTGAAGTATTTACAAAAGTATTTCCAAAAAACTCTAGTAGGCCGTGCAATTTATTTTTAAAATAATGATGTTGGCAACACCAACGTGTTCCTTGTTCAGTTTGACATTAACCGTGAAATAAGTATCAAATATCAAATAAAGTGTCAAATAGCGGGAAGGTCAACGTCATTATTTTAAAAATAAATTTCATGGCCTACTAGAGGAGTTTTTTCTCGATCGTATGGTAGTACATACATAATGCTTGACTTATCAACTATTTCTGATGTAAAATGTGTAGTTGTTTTTTTAGCTTTAATTAAGATATGTGTCATTTTACTTTCGACCTTATGTAAGAATCTATTGTTATAACACTAGTGAAGATTATTGTTATTATTATATTTTCAAGAAGGAATTTAATATAAAGACACTAATAAACAGACACTTACCTAACGATGGGTGTTTGAAGATAAATCGTAAGCAGAAAGATATTCTAGAGTTATCCTTTTCCTAGAAAATACAACAACTAGAGATAAAAGTTTAGCAATAGACAACTTTCGTCAGGTGATATTTTTTAAACCAAAATAGAGAATAGTATTTTGTTTCACTTGTTTAATTAAACGAGATCAATTACAAGAGTTTAAGCATAAATTTAAATTAAAAGTAGAGTAACACTCCCGTATTCTACAAACTGTGGAAAGAAAAAAGCTTACAAAAAATATCAACGATGTTTCAAGTACTTCTTGCAGTAAAAGTAAAAGCTTTTAAAATTAACATTATTTGATCAAATCGCATATTGATGATTTTTTGCTTAAATCTTAAAAAAATCGTAGTCCGTATTGCATATTTTTAGTATTATTTTTAATTCTCTGGTCCTTGTTAATATGACGTGTCAGTGAAATGTTATTCGTCGCATATAGTGTTGTAACTCCGATATCACTTTGATA